TTCACGCAGTATTACTTGCGGGTCCGTTAGGTGAATCCATTGCGAGCTAGAAAGTTTTTCATGCAGACTTGCCGTTATTGCACCATCAACGGAGAGAACTGTATTGACGCCGGCCAATCAAAGTGGGTCATTCGCTGAGTGGTTAAAGGCGACGGAGGACATGCCCTGGGGTCGAGTCATAACAACGGCGGACAGCTTGCAGTAGCCGGCTGCAGAGCTTCTTGCACACTCTTTCTCTCCATAAAAGTTAGTCCAACCCGATCACTTTCCCCTGACTTCTGAGTTGGGAGTCTTCGCGTTTTTGATCACATTAATCAGACTAAGGACAAAATGCTCAAAGAGCGTACAGTATCTCGTTTCTAAGGCTTTCGTGATGCTCATTTTCAAAAGATGAAATTACCACCACTACTTCTGGTCGACAGCACTTACCTAGGAACTGTTCCCGCTAAGTGGTCATGGAAATCACACGGAAGGGATGAAATTAATAGTCCCTGTTTCTCTGTGTGCTAGATAAAGCACACGTTCAGTCTACAAAGATATCAATAGCTCAGGGACACTGCTACTTATGCAGTGTTACGATGCTTTTTGGTTTACGGGAGACAGATCACAGGCGCGGCTAACTACTCAGCCACTGACAGTATTTACCCGACTATTCTTATTGGTGGACGGACGCTCACCAATCATTTATGGGATTCATTCGTCCTGTGGAGCCTTGAGGCTCAGGTTCGAGCTCCGTCAGCAACTGCACAGCGGCTAGTATCATAAGCAGAATGACATTCGTGGGGAGACTGGAATGGCCATTTCCGGCTTATCAGCCGTCATCAGCCAATCGCACCCGACTTCAGGTGGTGCGCAACCCGGGACTCGAACCCGTGACCTGTTGAGTACAAATCCAACGCGCACCACCTGGAATTGAGTATGGCTGGCTGATGACGGCTGATAACCCAGAAAACCCCCTTACAATCTCCCGCATATTTTTCGGTAGTGTCACTCTGCCTTTACCATTAGCCGCTTTGTGGATGCTGGTGGAGCTCGTGGGAAAGCCTCAAGGCCCGATGGTACGAGTGAGTTCTGTAACCAATTGGTGAGCACCTCTATACCATTCAATATATTCCCGATCGATATCGGTAGGGCGACGATCCCGTAATGCAGCGGTTATAACGGTAAGCCTCTAGCCAACAGGTTGCGGGCTCGAGCATCGTGTGGTGCGCCACCTGGGGTTGAGTATGATTGGTTGATAACGGTGGATGGGTCAGAATTGGCTATTCCAATCTCTTCACGCAATGATATTTTGCGTTTAATAGTAGCCGCTGTGAATTTGCCGGTGAGGCTCGGAAGTGAGCCCGAAGATACAACAAGACGACTGGGTCCCGTACCTGATTGATGAGCATGCATGCTGTGATCGACTGAATAGTTATCCGCGCCTGTGGTCTGTTTTCGTGAAATCTGAAACTGTCCACTCCAATAAAACAAGGGCAGGGAAGGCTAGAATGGCAATTCCTGGCATGTTAGCGGTCATCAGCGAGCCATACCCAATCAGAAGCGGTGCACAGCTCGAACCGTCGGCTTTCTGATCAAAAGGTCGCGAGCTGGAGCTTCGGATGAAGAACCAGCTGGGGTTGGGTATGACTGG